CGAACAGCCTGTTTATTCGTCTGGCCTCATTCTCTTTCGTGTACCTCTTTAGGCGACTGGACAAGGCTGGGAGCCTTTGTGTGGCTATATATATATATATATATATATAGGTGGCCCGGCAGTCCAGTTGTTAGCACGTCTTCACAGTGCTGAGGTACCGGGTTCAATTCCAACTCCGGCCTCCCTGTGTGGAGTTTGCATGTTCTCCCCGGGCCTGCGGGGGTTTTCTCCGGGTACTCCGGTTTCCTCCCACATTCCAAAAACATGCATGACAGGCTGATTGAACACTCTAAATTGTCCCTAGGTGTGAGTGTGGGCGTGGATGGTTGTTTGTCTCTGTGTGCCCTGCAATTGGCTGGCAACCAATTCAGGGTGTCCCCCGCCTACTGCCCGAAGACAGCTGGGATAGGCTCCAGCACCCCCCGCGACCCTAGTGAGGATAAAGCGGTTCAGAAAACAGAACTGAATTTAACTTTTAAATGCGTCCTCATTGTTTTTTGCCCTCTTTGGTTCATGTTCTCTGTCAGAAGTGGTTTTTGTCTGACGTTTTGTAAAGAAATGGTCCTAGGACGCTTGCTTTTGTCGGCTATTAACAATAATTCGAAAACGTCCAAGGCAAACATCAGCATAATGAGCGATCGCCCGACTGGTGAACACTTTTTCTGGGTGATTCACATCGGAACACCTCATGGCCCAGGGGCGAATGATGAGGACGCTGCATAGACACAGATCTCTCTATCTACACACATAGACACATACGGTAGAAGTCCCTCTTCACCAATGTGATGCCAGGATGATGCTCAGTAATAGCCAATGGCAGACCAGCTCTTAGTATGTTGCGTTCTGGAAACTCAGAGCTGCATTTAGCAGACCATACTGTATTTTTACCTTTCGTATCTTGAAATTTCTTCTGCAATGTTTTCCTGTTGAGGCGTTTCGTAACTTGGAAATTTCGTATGAAGAGATGTTCGTAAGTAGAGGTACCACTGTATTTACAGTGTCACTGTTGTTTTTCCCCCAAACACTTTAACTTTGAATCATTTACGTTGAGTGCTTAAGTCGATATGTTCATGAAATGTCTTCAAGCTGAAAGTGTACATTTCACACATTAAAGTCCATCGTGACAGTATAGTGGCAAAACCATGAAGACTCTTCAAAACACTTTCTGGCCTAACTTTATACGCTTTACAATGATCAATAAAACAAACTTTGAGGCTTGAATAATGGTTAATCTGTTTATCTTTATCCCTACCCCTCTGACCACACACCACCAGAAAGATGCTGTTCGACACTCCTGACGATGATGCCAATTACAATCCATTGCCCGAGGATCGCCCAGGAGGGTTTGCTTGGGGAGAGGGACCACCAAACCTTGGAGGTTAACAATAATCTGGTGTTGTCAAGTATCTTCCAAAAATGTTCCACCAGAGTGATAACGTGTATTGATATGCTTGTTTTTTTTTTTTTTTTTTTTTATTCATGGGTGGACAATGCAAAAAAAAAAAGAAAAACATTGAAAAGTCCATTTGTTATTTTTGTTTAGTGTTTCAAAGTGGATTCAAATGAACAATTTGCCATGCCAGTCTGCGAGTCTCTTTCTCCGGAGAGTCATGGTATTTTCTCTCTCATTTATGGAGAATTAAGTTGATGGTTTCAATTATTTTGACAATAAGGGTGAAGTCAAAAAGCTGAACTGTTTTATAAGGCTGTTCAACACAGTAAATTCACAGCTTCTGGTTGACTCTGGTGTCTTTTTTTTTTGTTGTTTGATGCTGTTATTTTACTTCCTGGTTTTTATTTGCACAATACTGTACACAGTGTACAGTCGTGTGTGTGTGTGTGTGTGTGATTTTTTTTTCATTTTAAATTAATTTTTACTTGCCAGTTGAAAAACGGAAAATCTGGCCATTATAACATCAACGATTGAGTGAACAAGAGATCTGATTTCAAAACTGCTTTTCCTCAACCAGACAACACACAGAAGTAATCACAGGCAAAGATAGCTTAGCATGTGGTTGGAGTGGGACTGGGGGGTTTTATTAACTCAATCACTGTATAAACACTGGAACTTGAATTGATATTTATTGATGAAAGTTTAAGTTGATAACTGATGTTAAACAACTTGGCCAGACTAGGGCATCAATAACATGCACAAGGGCTGGGAAAGAAAACAAAACGAAAAAAACAGTTCTGAAATTTTTGTTTGCTAAATTATCTTTCTATTGTAACAGTACCTCTTGCCAATAAATTCTATACTTGTACATTCTCTTGATTTCATTTTTTTTATTTTTAGGGAACATTATATTTTGCTATAGCTTACGACTAAGGCCCAACTGATGTGGATCTTTTTTTAAGTGCTTCTGATATGTGTCTGACAGTAGCGGATGCTGGTCTGTCAAGGAGGGGAAGCTCAATTTTGGCCTACATCATAAAATGTGTCCATTTATTTTTAACAAGGTGTCTTTTCCAGGGTCTTAACTGTGGTGATATAAGTCAGTCTGCGAACACAAGTAATTACAATAAAACCCACCAGAAATAAAAGATTAATTTGTTGCGAGTCGTTTTCAACAAAGATAGTGTCGCGAAGATGATTGGAAGAAGTCTCCAGTTCAACTCAGAACAGAATGAGAATTGAAAAATGCTCCCACGGATGCCGACACCAAAAGATGGGTGATTCGCTGTCAATCAAAAGAGATTCCGCCTCAGACAAATCATCCAATCATCATGCAGAAAAGCTGAGCGTCCCGGCCCGCCCATAAACGGCCACTGTCCATAGACTCCCAGAGACGCTGAGTGTCCGATGGGCGGAACAAAACCAGCATTTATCCAATGATTCGCCTCGTTTTAATGCATTGGGACTACTCTCTCGACGCCCAGCGTCCGCGCTGTAGACTCTCAGCATCCACACAGTTTAAAGCACAGTGAAGCTGCGGGAATGAATGAGAAGAGAGTTACGTTGTAACCAGTAATAGGAAGCTGATTCGGAACAAAAGTTGAGCGCGTTGTAGCGCATATTTAGTCAATGACATGTACACACAATTGTATGTACACACATATATTTTATCACTTATTTTTTGACATTTTAGGGGAAGCTGAGCTTCCCTTGCAGTCTTAGAGCAATCACCTCTGGTGTCTGAAAAAAATAGCAATTCACAATCGGATTAATAATTCTTAAAATATGGGGGAGTCGACCTTGGTTCTGAGTATCGAGGCCAGGGGTCACCAACCTGATAATCTGCAAGGTGTCTCTGCAGTTGAGGTTAGGTTTCAGGGTTAAGGGAAGACGATCGAAAACAACCCTTGGATGCGGCAAAACAAGACACATCTACACATACCTCCAGCATCCACTTGGGTGAGCAAGAGTTGAAAAATGTCTTCTCCATAGAAATGAATGCGATTTTCATGGGGTGTGTGTAATTTGTCTAATTGTAACCGTGGAAAAAAAAATGTCGCCTCCTGCTTCAATGTGACGTGTAATTAGGAGTTTGTGCTCAGTTTGTGTGTTTGGGCAGAGTCAAAACGTTTAGGTTCACTGAGCTCTGCAGCCTGGGGTCACTCAATGTCTGAGCACTTGAACCCTTCCGTAAGTAGAAAGATAAAATCAACTCCTACCTGACCACAAAGACAGTAAACTACGATTAAATACAGAAAAACAAAACCCGGTAATGACAAAAGTGTGTTGGTATTGAGTGGGTAGAAGTTAACAAATGTGACAGAGGTCTTGGTTTACACAAGTGACTTAGAGGGACTCAATCATATCAGAGGAAGGCAGCATGTTGCTTTTTGCAGATAGCAGCCCAGTCAGCGGAGGAGGGAAGGATTGGGTGGAGTAAGCCATTTTAATGAGGAAAAAAAATATTGTTAAAAGATAGGTTTCTACATTATTTTGTGTGTGTGTGTGTGTGTGTGTGTGTGTGTGTGTATTGACAGAGAGAGAAAGTGACAGAGAGACAGAAACTGAAAGTTTAAAAAAACTCAAATTTGGGGTGGAGTAAAGGTGGCTTTTGTTATGATGTTGTCGTTTTCTGTTCTCTATGTTCTGAATTGGGATTAAAAAAAGGACAGATTGATCTCACATCTCGTTATGTATACACCCCCCTACACACACACACACACACACACACACACGCACACAGACAAATATTAATCTCAATACGAATAACAACAGGGCGAATATTCAACCCCCTTGATACGAATCCAACCATGACTAGCACTAAACGGGTAAGGTTAAAAAAAAAACTATTTTTATTTTTTATTTTTAATTACCTCGGAAAAGAGTCAAAAGCATTTGCGCGTCTTTCGATGTTTATAGTAAGACAAAGATAATATGTTGTATATACTGTATAAAATGTGGAGGACAAAAACGATACATTAAATGTAAGATACATCAACTTAACGCATTCGTTTGTCTTTGCGAACGTCATCTAGCACAGCTTCCTGTACATATCGGTGCTGCAGAACTGACGTCACGCTGTGGGAGTAAAAAAAAAAGGACGCAAACAGCAGCTGGTCATTCTTCGACGACCTACGCTATCGGAGGCTTTTAACGCTGCTTCGTTGTTCGCTAATTTAACAACAGAAAAAGGTGAGGAATTATGCTTGACGAATTTTGCGCTTAATGTTTATTATATTCGCTGCAGGGACAACGTCCACTGCATACACAAATTATGTAATACTTAATCTTTATCTCCGTCGAGCGCTAGCTTGGTAGCTAATTCAAACAAGCGGCTTGTGTTTCCAGTTCAATATTACGAAAATATTTTCGCGATGTAAATCGGTGAGATAACGCAGTAGGTCATCGTTGTCGGATGGCTTGTAACCAAGTTAAAGCTTACATTTTCACCATTTAGAAAAAAAGATGCCATTCGACCTAGATTCTAGAAAAGTGGATGTACATTGTAGCGCTTTTGTTTATTTATTTAAGGTCAGATACCTCCATACTCTTTAAAACTTACTATATTATTTTTGCATCTGTATGTAGAAAGGTAAGATTTCGCCTTTTTAGTACAATATTTTTTTCTGGCTTCCAAATCCAGCACATTTTCACTGACACAAATTATAATATCTGATAATGCAGATTTTGTATTGTATGGTTTGCGCAATTTGTCTCAAAGTATTTTAGGTTTGTAGTTAAATTATCTTGTAGGTTTAACGATGCAAGGTCTGCTGAACAGCTCGTCGGCCATTTCGAATGGGGAACCGCCCAGTGGAGGTGCATTGCTACAGTTTGGCATGGCTGAAGTGCCGCATTGATATAGACATAATGACCGTTCATGATTGATACGTTATATCCACGTAAGGGTTCCGAATGTGTACATATTCAAACGGAAACTATATGTATTTTTTGTGGATAATTATAAAACAAAATAATGAAAAAAATACGGCGCCGTTGACCGTTTTTTCTAGAGCTCATAAAGAGGCAATTCATGGTAATGACCACTAGGGGTGCTCAGTGCTCTGCCAGAATGTCAAATTCCTAACATCCATCTCCTTGTGACGTTGAAGGTCAAGGGTCACCTGTCAAGCTGTTTACCTGAAGTAACTTTTGCTTCTAAATATAGAAGTACAGTACATACACTCGTACTAGTAATGATGCATACTGATTTCATCCTTTAAAAAAATACATACTTGGTCTATTAGTCTGTTTTTATTTCAACTCAACTTTATTTGAAGAACACATTGACAACAAATGCAGTTTGCTGGTTTTCCAGCAACCACTCATCCTCAGACTCAGCCTCATCAATATTTTGAAGCAAACGCAATGCCTCCTCTATTGTGTAACTTTTTTATAGACAATGGTGACCAGCAGATTTTCTCAAAGATCAATGCGATGGAAAGGCAGTGCCGCCCCAGCGGTGCGATTGATTTAATTCAAATGAATTTGAGCCGTCAAATTGATGGTCACCGTTGTTGAAGGCATACTGACTCATAAATATTTTTATATTAATTCGTACAGTAAAACTGTAGCATGGTAATTTTGCGCGCGCGCGCGCGCGCGCACACACACACACACACACACACACACACACACACACAGACGGGAAAAGTCATAAGGGCAGGATGATCGTTAATCAATGTAAACAGACTAATACCATTTCAAAGTTTGAAAATCGTCAACGTAACCATTTTTCAAGTCTTGAGAGAGTAAAATCATCGAATAACAAAAATATTGCACAAACAATGCAACAATGTGTAGTCAGGATAACAACGATGATGAAGCTGCCATGATACAGTACAATCCCATTTCAATGCTGAAATAAAGGTGACTTTTTTTTTTGGGGTGAATAAATTTACAAACTTGTCATGTGTTGAAACTTACGGTCAAAAATGTTATGCTTCCGTTCCAAATTTTTAAGCTTTTGAAAAAAAATGATTTTTATAACTAGTCTATGCAATGGAACTTAGCATAATTTTCAAGGAAATCCAAATTCCCTTTTCTAAATGATAATTTTATTTCGCGGGGGGGGCGGGAATTGGAACCTGACTGTCTGTTTGTTATTGCACAGTAAACTGCAGCTTGTCGGATGCTAGGGTCAAACGACCATTTATGTGTACATGCATTTGAGGTGTACTATTGATATAAGCTGACATTCTACAAGCCTGCATGAATGCAAGAATATTTTAATTCCTTTATTTTTTACAAAGCACAAAAAAAAATCTTCAGCAAACTCCAATAAGCATTCGTTGTATGGTCCCAATGTACCATCGTCTTGAATATAGGATTCACTTCTTCATTGTTGTTCAATCTGCCACCTGGTGGCTGGTGTGTGACATATGATTGCACATTGAAGGCATTTGTCCGTGAAATCGGTTGGTCACTGCTAATGGATGCACAGGAAGAGAGTATTGCTTCACTGCACTTATGTCGAATGTAGATTAATGTAACGATCAACAATACTGCTTTGGGATAGCATTTAATGGAAAAGCATTTATACAATGCACTCATGCAGGAGCAACTTGGCATTGTCTTGCTGAAATAATATAGTAAATAACATGCGAAAAGACATTGCTTGGATGGCAGCACATGTTTCTCCAAAACCTGTATGTACCTTTCAGCATTCATGGTCCCTTCACAGATGTGCAAGTTACCTATGCCTTTAGCACTAACACAGCCCCATACTAGCACAGATGCTGGCTTTTGAACTTTGCTTCTATCACAGTACCGATGGTTATTTTCCTCGTTGGCCCAGAGGACAGAATGTTTACGAGTTCCCAAAACACTTTGCATTTAAGATGAGCGGCATTTCTGGGTGTGATGATAAATGG